AGAGAGAAAGAGTTTATGAATTAAAATTAAATGAAGAGTTTCAAATGGTATGCTCACTCTTCGAAATTGAACCAGACTCCTTTAACTCTTAATACTAAGACTTCTGAATATTTTAAAACACAAGATAAAAAGAGAGAAGGATTTTATGAATTAAAATTAAATGAAGAGTTTCAAATGGTTGAAACAGACCTTCCAAATCTAACGGAAGGTAATGGACTAGATTTTGAGAAGCAATCAGAGTTTGATTGGGAATATGATTCCAAGATGATGAGACTAATTTAAACAATAAAAAGAATTAGATTTCTAATATTTCTCCGATGAACTTGAAGAGAGATTAAGTGCTTTTGAAACTGTCACAAATAACATTCAAGGTCATCTTCAAAATCAGTGTCAAATTCAAAATTTTTCTAATGAAGTGGAAAATATCAGTTCGAAACCTGAAACTGAAGTTGACATTGAAGCTGAAATTGACGAGTCCAAAAGTGTTTTCAAAATTTTTGGTTTTGAAGAGGAGAGATCACCGAGTATTTAAAATAAAATACACCAAAAAGAGACAAACAAGATTTGTACTGGTGAATTGAATACCCTAGTGAAAATTGAAAACGAGGAAGATATACTTCATGACCAGGGAGCTGTTTCAAATGGGTTTAGTATGGCTCATCTTCTTGGAAATATAGAGATTATAGGCAAGCTGCTAGGTGAATCTAGTATTGAAAACAGAATGGCCTTTGAGAAATCTGTTGAGCAAAACATCTTGTTGAAACTCTTTGGAAACATTGAAAAGAACTTCCATAATATTGGAGAAATAAATATTTTAAAAAGGAATGGGTGTGATAAGTTTGAAGGATCTAGGGCTAAGGGAGAATTGATAAAAGAGCTTGGAGAAGATTGTTGCTTGGGACTTGATAAACTTTTTAGAGAAAATGATTTTATTGTGTTTTCTAAACATGCTGAAAAAGATGAGCAGTTAGTTTTTGAGGAAATCCCACAAGCTCAATATGCCAAGAAAAATACAGTAATGAAGGAGCACCAGATTGAACAACCTGGGTTTTAACTAAGTGTGGGGGAGAACAAATTAGTTCTTATTCCATACAGCACACCCCAGTTTCTTTGAATCCTGAGATGATTTCTATTCCTTATTCCTTAACACTATGTATGGTTCAAGGATTTTGGAAGGAAAAGAAAAGAAAATGATTTTCTCTCATTTTCCTCACCAAAATGGGAGGATTATGGTTTTCCCTCCGATTAGTACATTTGTTTTCTCATTTTCTTTTTCTTCCACTTTTCCTCTCTAACCAAAAACGAAAAACTGTTTTCCAATTCATTTTCTTTTCTTTTCCCTTTCAAATTCCTTGAACCAAACATAGTGTAAAGAGCTTCATATTTGGAAAGGAAATGTTTGGTCTTAAGGATTGTATGAAAGGTATTTTTATGTTTCTAAATGATGAGTCCACTAATAAATCTTTGGTTTGGAGGAAATCAAGGCTGCAAACTGACCATGAACACCTGTTTATTGTGATAAGTTTGAAGGATCTAGGGCTAAGGGAGAATTGATAAAAGAGCTTGGGGAAGATTGTTGCTTGGGACTTGATAAACTTTTTAGAGAAAATGATTTTATTGTGTTTTCTGAACATGCTGAAAAAGATGAGCAGTTAGTTTTTGAAGAAATCCCACAAGCTCAATATGCCAAGAAAAATACAGTAACGAAGGAGCACCAGATTGAACAACCTGGGTTTTAACTAAGTGTGGGGGAGAACAAATTAATTCTTATTCCATACATGGTTGTTAAGTCGATAAGTCGAGTCGAGTCGGTGACAGGGAGACTAGTGGACTAGGCGACTAGTCGTAGACTAGGCGACAAATCACAATTAGCATTAAAATTTTTAACATTATATATATCTATGTTAACCCAACATGAATATATATATATTTATATGTCAAAACACCATAACCAAAGCAAACTTATGCTTAAAGATAGCACATAAAGTCACTTAACAAAGAGTACATAACAAACAAATATCCTTCCATCTTTAAAAATAACACACCAAGAAAGATAATTAACCAAATAAGAAGTCAAAGGACATATTAAAATAGTTAATTCCATGTTTTGAGTTATCAAAAAACTGAAATAAAAAAAATTGAAATATTAAACTGAAAAAAAACTGAAATACTAAAATACTAGAATAAGAAAAAAATTAAAATATTAACTGAAATCAGAAAAAAAA